ACCGATACGCTAGTGAGCATGCTCAACAAGCCCACTTCAGGCACGACTACAAAAATCGCAAGAGCTATCACAATACAATGAGCAGATGAAAAGAGCAACCGACCAAGCCTTCCGACAACATGTATAACTCATAATTTTACTAACAGTGCAGGTGATAGCGCCCTCGCTGCAGTTCTAATGAGGATATAGGAAATGAAAAATGAAAATAAAGCACTCCGAGACCAGATGAAAGAACACCAAGAACGAGTCGATAATATACCGGGCACTCCTAAGTTGTTGCCAAAAAAGGATGCCGGCAGATTCGTAGAGCAGCCGCATGCCATACCAAAAACCTTCAAAATGCTTCCATACCTTAGGATATATGATAGAACAACTGATCCCAAAGATCATGTGACCCATTATCTCACCGTCGTGAAAAGCAACGACCTCACCCAGGAACAAATGTCCTCTTTTTTGCTGACAAAGTTTGGTGAAACCCTTACGTGAGGGGCATTAACATGGTACTTACAGCTACCAGCCCGCTCCATAGAAACTTTCGAGAAAATGGCTGATAAGTTCGTAACTGCACATGTTAGAGCCAAGAAGGCCGAAACAAGAGTAAACGACATATTCGCTATCAAGAAATCCTTGGGAGATGGACTAAGGGACTTCCTCGCCCGATTTAACAGGGTGAGGAAAATAGGAAATGGATCAGCCACGATCAAAGAAAAGAAATTACCAGTCAAATGGAGAGCAGGCTTGAATTTCTTGAAAAACTTGGCCAATCACGGATCCCTACGATGTGAGGGAGGAGTCGTTCAACCCAGTCAGAAATATGAGTGACCAGAGTAGGAGGTTGGCCGTTGGCTGCAAAAGAGAAAAGTAAAAACATCAAAATTCGAAACCAAAAATGAATGCAGAAAGAAACAGGGCACTCACGAATGTAGTTCCAAGCTTCAGGAAAGCCGTTGACATTGGCCACGACGTCCTCGGTCCTGACGTAGAAGAAGTTAAGCTAGAACTAACGATTGGATTTGTCGTCCATCTTTACTACCAAACATTTGCCTCCTCGGTGGTGAAGGTTCAGCATTGTCCCCCTATAAAAGCCAGGGGCGAATAGATGTATCAAGTGCCGTAGTGTCAGCTCGACCCCGGCCAGCTCGACGAATTTGGTTAGCATCTTAATCACCTTGTAGACGTACAGTGCAAGCTGAGCCGGAAAAATGCCGTAATGACGACAAAATTCCTCCACTAGCGAGTGGAGGGGGAGAGAATAGCCGATGTGGAAAGGGTAGGCATAAAGAGCTCAGTACCCAGGACAATAGTATACTAGGTCCCCCTCAGCCGAGATCAACTCAACGTGGTTTGGAAGGCCGAATTTGGCCTTAAGTTCCGCCAATTCCTTAGGCGTCATCGTTGATTTAAAGACTACAAGCGCGGCGTCCAGTACTTTAGTAAGGTCGGACCTGGATTTAGGATTATGCAGGATTATTTTCTTCACTGACGGGAAGGTTTCATCCTCAACAATGGTAAAAATGCTCTCTCCATGGGAGAGGAACACCACTGCCAAGGGAGCAACACGACTCCTCTCACTAACATGAGAAGATACGTTAGACATTATTCAACGTAGTGGAGGATACTGACAAATGAAAGGGAATGAAGAACAATATAGGTCAATGAAACAGAGAAAAGAAATTCGAAAAAGAAGAGAGCAAGAAAAAGGTATGGTGTTTCGAAGTGTTAGAGGGTTTAAACTCCAAAATCAGGTTCAAGGATCTCTATTTATAAAAGTCATGACACCAAAATCGAAAACGGTTCATCATGATTGGCACCAGAACCGAAGTAGAAGGTATAATCAAAGGTCGCGCGCGAAACGAAGTGACGCATCGGGAATATGCGTCATAATGACGTATGGCATCATGACGTCATCTTAACCCCGTGGCCCATAGAGGGCCACGTCGCCTGCTCGCCGCAACAACCACGACCCGTGTAGTCCGCTTGATTAGCTCGACCACCAATAACATGATCCGCTCATCGAACCCGCCCGCGAAGTCGGCCTCAATAAGAGGAGGAACTAACTGTATGGGTCAAAATCTATCTCTAAAATACTTAAGTTCCCAGGCCGCCACGTGTCGAAGTGGTTTAAGGAACAATGAAGGTCGTGGTCGAAGAGTCAACAAGGACTGAGGTCGAGGAGTCATCAAGGATCGAGGTCGAGGTCGAGGTCTAATACCCATGACATAGTTATAACGTCTAGTTTCAAGATAGGACATTAAAGAGAATATTCTAGTGGATATTCTCTGCACATGTACTATTAGGGTTTCTAGGAACATGTTCCCTATAAATAGAAATAGATACAATGATAGGGGACATGAGATATTCACTTGTAAAATACACTTTGACTTTATAGAGAGAATCTAGTCTTATTAGAGGCATGTAAAAATAATCTTTTCACTAAGATTCTTGTCCACATTTTCCCACTGGATTCGAGAATAACTCGAATATTCAAAGGCTTATTCATCGTTCATCATTGTCAGAAAGAACATCCACTGATTTCATTCTTTCTCGGGTGACTCATTCGTTTTATTTACATAAATGTCATTTATTGTTATTTATCACTACTTAATGCTACATTACTTTTGTTTGGGGTCCTTAAATATTGTCATTATAGTGCACCATCGTAATCTTCGGAATAGATCTACGTGATATTTATCATAATATTGAGAATTTCGTCTTTAGGATATTATTATTAACTAAGATTAGCCCTTATTTGCATAAATCTAATTAGTTGAACCAAGATTTATATTTTTGGTCAAACATGAGTAGAGTTATATGATATTTTTGATGATGAGATAACAAATAGTACTCGATAAACTAATTTAGGTGCGAGCAAACTGACTCGAACAACACAAAATAATAAATTAAACTACTTATGAGACTAATATAAGCATTCCCAAGTTCCAAGTCAATATAATTATCACTTTCGGACATACAGTATTAGATATGGGAAATGGAGTTTTCCACCTGCCAAATATTGACTGTGACTATTGTCTTGTAAGTAACGTATGGGAAAAACCTTTGTCGGCAAAAATTTAATGTTCTTTTTGGTTTCTTATTTTGGTAACCTTCAGTTCTCTTAAAATATAGTAGTATAGATTATCCTGCAGAAAACTATTGTATATAATGTTTTCCCTGTGCCGCTGTGCGAGGTTTCTGTTAACTGAAAATTGGTGTGGGGGTAGAAATAGACTTTTATTTTTCATCTTCAGTAAAAAATAATGGCCTTGTTGTTAGAATATAGGATCACAGAAAGTAAGCAGAAAGTCTGAGGCGTGAAAATTACTTAACTGAAAGAGATACATGGTTGTTCTCTCATGACGTACGCAACAAAACCTATGTGTATCCTACAAATTAAATTTCTTAATTGGGCACTTATTGGAGAAGATCACTAGTATTTATATATGTTCCGAATAATACGCATATGACTTTTTTAATAAAAGAAAATTAATTTTATCAATAAATTTTTGTAAGACAACTTTGTTTGTTCCCTTGATTCTTCTTCTGAATTGTTCTCCGTGATTCATATTTCTCCTGAGTCCCTTGGATGTATTTGACATGCATATTACTTCATGAATAGATATACTTATATCTTTTATTCAAGATTTAAGTTTAAAATTTAAATTAAACTGAATATTCTGCTATAGATAGAAATAAAAATAAAAGGAGTTCAGAGATTAACCTTAATTTGGAGTTACTTGGAGAAATTCTACACAGAATTAGCTAGCGTTTGACCATAGATTTTCAATTCTTTTTTGAAAAATTTAATTTGGGCGAAATTTGGTTTGAAGATGAAAATGTGTTTGGACATCATTTTCAAAACATATTTCCCAAATTTATTTTGGAAAATACATGAAACATGACTTATACTCACAAGTTCTAAAAATTATCACAAATACCCAACAGTACCATTATCAATAACATTTATTATATTATTGCAAACTATAGTCCTGAACATAAATAAATTTGATACAAAATTATTATTTTTATAATGAATTACATGATACACTATCAGATGACCGAGAAGTCGAAGCAACATTGTTACAAAATAATAAATGGTGGGCTCTTTTATAAAATATAAAAGTTTGGGGCAATTTTAAAAAATATAATAGTGATATTTTGACCCAAAACTAGCTATTGAGCTGTTTTTGGGATTTGAGATTTGAGATTTTGCCAAAATATAAGCAAAATTTATGGCCAAACATGTGTTTGCCAAATAAAACCCAAATTTATTTTGAAAAAATCTACTGTCAAACGGATCCTTAAAGTCTTCAAATGGTTTTTGGGCTACTGATCTGGTACTTAATTCCCACCAACATAACAAACTACTCAACACTTGTACGTTGAGGTTGCGTGAAATTTTAGGTGAAGCAGAATTTCTAGAAGTACGTTTTAATGTCGATTGTCCATCTCGTGCTAGAATATAATTGTCTGATGAATGACTAAAATTGATCGTGTGTAAAAATTATTGAGTGTACAAATAAAGTCCTACAATAAAATTTGATATGATTTTTTTTTTATTATACTCACTACAAGAAATAATGATATTCTTAATGATACGAGACATCTTAAAAAAAAAAATTATTAACTCATATAAATAACGAACAAGCTGAATTTATAGCAAAAATGCAATGAAATAAATTAATTGTGTCACCTAAAAATCCAAATAAAGGTGGGGGCAAAAGAAATAATAGTGCTGCAACTACTATTGTACTTGAAATAGAGTAGCAAGTTCATTGCATGAGCTCGAGGTTTTTACGGTAAATCTCGAGTGCAGAAAACAAAAAAAAAGTTGTCTCTAAAATTATTAACGTGTCGAGAGGTCTAAAGAGTTGGTTCCCCATTGAAAAACGAAATTAAATGCAAGTGACCAATGCAATAAATACCCTATGAATAAATAGGCACCGAATTAGTTGGCCTTTTCACCTATACATATATCTCACTTCTGCACCTTTCCCAATCATGCCTAGAACCAAACAACACAAAGTGTCAATGGAGAGAATAAGTGTTTTTGTTACCCTTTTTATTGTGTTGATTGTAGTAGGAAAAGAAATGCATAATGTTAGTGCAGATAGCCCTTATGCTTGTTGGGGTGGCTGTTACAATCAATGTATTATATTGAGTTTTCAAGCTGGTACTATACCAAACAACAATAATCCTTGTTACGTGCAGTGTTTAAGCAAGTGCATTCCTCGTTCTGCTGCTGAATACCAAAATTACTGCAAGATTGGTTGTTCTTTGGAACTCTGTGTTCCCACTCGCTCTGGTATAAATTTTCGTTTACGATTCACCCTCTACTTTAATTTGCACATATTCGTTTTCGTTAGAGTCCCACATTGGTTGAGAGTGTGTGAAATAGTGAAAGATTGTCTCGTTATAAGTCATTATTATTGGACAATCATTAACTAGTTTTCGAGATTGAGTTAAAGTCTAATTTCTATTTTATTAATTTCTTAACCACGTCACTTATTCTTTAGACTCAATTAATTCCTATTCTTTATTTATCCAATGTTGGGCTCTTTTTATATGAATCAGTAATGGGGGTTCACAACTTGAACAAGGTACACCAATTTTCCCTAGCTATCCCTTTCTAGCTATTCTACGTCTTTGAAAGGTGAGATACCCCAGCCTGAGAATGCAGAAGCGATAAATTAATTAAAGTCTCACGTTATTAGGCAATCTTTACTTCTTTTGACGTTTAGTTAGGGTTAAAGTCTGATTAGGGGAAAACTGAACATGTGGCGAATTATTAACATATTATTTGGGATTTGCAAATTTGGTAGCAATCACTGTCTAGATCCATGCAGTAGTAGTTGGCTGTTTTTCAATTTGATTGTAACCATTTGATGGCAACGTATCCGAAAATGGAATTTAAGTGTATAGTTAAGTTATATAAGCTAATACGTTCATTACTAATTTTTATCAAGTTATCAATCAATTACAATTATATGAATTTATTGATTATAGAAACATTCTTTTACACCATTCAGTGTAGTGAAATTTCATTTAATTCTTTTTTTATTTGGCAGATGCGGGTGCAGATCTGGATAAATGCTTTGGCAATTGCGGAAACGTTTGTAGGGCTTAGAAATATCTATTACCATTTACCACAATATGTGCTATTGGATGTGGTCTCACCTTTTTTTCCCAATCTTTTACCTAATAAATAAATAAATGGTTCTTTGTAGTTCGCAATTCAAGTGAAACTGAAGAGTTTGATTAGTGCTGTATTTGTTTACTCCCTTTCTGTCATTTTCCTCCTTTTCCTTCAATTATCTTTGATCAGTTACGAATTGGAAAACTTCAAGTTATCTACCACCTACTTCTTCTCCCTGACAATGCACTGCTTTTATTTTGAACACAACCAATAGGAATTCAACAAAGATATCTTGTTGTTTTACGAATCCTCGATTGGAAGAAGAAAACAAACAAAAGACTGCCACACGCTCTTTTGGCTGGCAAGTTACCTTCGCCTAGCTATTTCATCTATAAATATTTTAATTTGCATACATACGACATTCAAAGCCAAAACAAGTCCCAAAGCAATGAGGAAAGGATTATAGAATGAAGNATATATATATATATATAAAACTTTAAATTCGTAACTGTAAATATATGTAATGGGTTCCATAATAAAAAGTAAATTTTATACGCATCAAGTGAAATTATGAATTCGTCCAAAGATAATGACCAGACTATTATTACTACTACTACTAGTCCTTGGGCACGCGCGTTGCGCGTCTATCCCATATCGTGTGTAAAACGCTTTGAATCATGACTGTATTTGTAAGAAAAAAGACTGCACTTAAAAAATCATAACAATTTAAATATTTAAGCTAAAAAAAAATAAAAGAAGAAGATAAAATATATGAACGGTAAATGTTAGCTCTAAACAATTATTATATGACTGGAAGTTAAAGAGCTTAACTTTGTAAAGCGAAGAATTCATATACATGTACCCTACTAAATTCTTTGATAATCCCAAGTCAAATTTAATGTTATAAAACTAACTTTTGTTGTTAATATTTAAGTATTATTAATACAACTTTTAAGGGTATAAAAGTTCAATAATATTATAGGGTCATTTTGGTCTTTCACATTCAACTTTTGATTTTAATGCTTATAATATAACAAGTTTTTGGGAACCCATATTGATGAGTATAAAATTTAAAATATATATAATTAAAAGAATATTTGAGTTAAAAAATTAAAATTAAAAATAAAATTTTAAATTATTAAAAAAATATAAATATGATCCTATTTAGCTCACTCAAACAATAATCAGGTGAAACCGAAGAGTTTGATTAGTGCTGTATTTGTTTACTCCCTTTCTGTCATTTTCCTCTTTTTCTAAAGTTTCCTTCAATTATCTCTGATCAATAAAGTAAATTTTATACGCATCAAATTTAAATTATGAATTATCAATGTAATAACCAGGCTATTCTTAAAAAATATCCTAACAATTCATCAGCTAGATCATGATGTCTAATTCAGAAAAGTCTGTAAACAATTTTTTTTTCTTAATTACGACGTACGTATATAGCGCCTTCCTTTTATATCAAACCAAAAAGTTTACACAGTTTAGAGGAAGACCGTCCACCTCGCCTCTATAGAATAATTTGTAACTTTATGTATGGCCAAACAAGCAACACTACAACACCCTTGTATGGGTTAAAATCAGACCAAGGAAATTCGGCATGCAGAGATGATTATCATGAGTGATTTGCAAATCAACACGGGCAGTTTGGCCGAGATCGACCAGTGATCAACAGAACGAGCCGCTGAGCGGTTCATCAGGGCCGAGGTCGAGCAGCATAGATAGAAGTAACGACTAGTTTTGTTTTGAGATCTTCAGAAGGAATATTCTATTGAATATTCTCTTTGTTTGTACTTTTTAGAATTCTTTGGGAATATTCCATATAAATAGTATGAGAGATAAGGCAAAAGGCATGTAATATTCCATAGGATAAGAACTTTTTTGAAAAGCAAGCGCCCCAGATAAATACAAAGAACAACTTTATGAAGTGATTCGATCTTTTTGGATTATCCATTGTCATTTTCACCAGATCCGAGAAAGTACTCACTACTTTTGTTATATTCTTGTCATTCATCACTATTAGAGAAATGAATCATCCACCTCATTCAATATTGAGTGAATCTTCCTCTTTATTTACATTTAGTGCCATTTATTGCTATTTAATATATAATACTTGTAACATACTATTACATTCAACGCATTTAATACAAACGCATTAAATTCGTTTCTTCACTGCCCACTTTTTTCACACCATTAATCTAAGATCTGTAGTTATTAGCTTTAACTATGATTAACTCCCCTTAATAACTGATTAATTAATTTAACCAAATATTATCATTTTTTTTGTCAAACAATTTGGCGCCGTCTGTGGGGATTTCCGAATCAAAGTCTTAGTTCCGTTCAGATCTAAAAGAAAACAACGCAAAACTTTGTCTTTTCTTGCGTGCATAAGTTTAACATGGTAGGTAATGGAGAAGAAAGGATGAATGCATTAGCCAGCCTTACTACGAACCTCTTAAACACCATGAACGAGGTCACGGAAACAGATGTTGAGGATGTGACGCCAAACGCCTCCCCCAGGCGGAGTGGTTCACCCCTTCCACACGGCAGCATTACAACCTCACTGGAAAAAGGGGCCTCTACGTCCACAATGGAAGAGGCACCACCAATGGTGAAAAAGCTGCTCGAAGCGTGGTTGATGAACACGCTAACCAGCATCCTCGACAAACCCGCCCAAAGGGCGAACAGAGAGAATGTGAGAGTTTGCGTCACACCATTGACAGATGAACAACACAACCCTCTTCCGGTAACAGGTATTACTCACGACGTTAATAATGCAGGTGTCGACACCCTCACGACCATTTTGAGGAAGATGGAAGAGATGGAGAATGAGAACAAACTGCTCCGTGACCAAATGAAAGAGCACCAAGAAAGGGTAGACAAAATACCAGGCGCCCCAAAACTCTTACCAAAAAGGGACGCCGATTGGTTCATTGAGCAGCCATACTGTGACGAAGCTGCACCACACGCCATACCCAAAACCTTCAAAATGCCGTCGTACCTAAAAATATATGACGGTACGACGGACCTTGAGGATCATGTGACCCACTACGTTACCGTACTAAAAGGCAATGACCTCGCTAAAGAACAAGTGTCTTCCATATTGCTGAAAAAGTTTGGTGAAACCCTCACAAGGGGAGAACTAACTTGGTACTCACAGCTGCCTGCACGCTCCATAGAGACGTTCGAATAAATGGCCGACAAGTTTGTAACCGCCCATTATGGGGCTAAGAAAATAGAGGCAATGGTGAATGACATATTCGCCATTAAACAGTCACCCGGTGAAGGGTTGAGAGACTTCCTCGCCCGATTCAACCGTATGAGGATGACCTTACCAAATGTATCAGAAGGAATGGCAGTAGCGGCTCTTCAGAATGGATTAAACAAGAGCGGCTCAAGGGCGACTAGAAAATTATTTAGCCAACTTATGAAATATCCCCCGACCACTTGGGACGAGATACACAATGCCTACTGCACCGAAGTACGAGCTGACGAAGACGACCTCAATGGGCCAATTCAACGGTTGACCTCAGTGCAAATAGAATCCAGGAAAGATCGGAGAAACGATAACAGAAGGGACCATGCAGGTCCGCAACCCAACAGTGAAAGGCATCAACCATATGTTAGAGCCGCCATCATACCACTTCCCTGCCACAGAGACGGCCCATCTAGGCCGCAAACAGGGACTCACCGAAGCGAGAAAGGTATGCCCCCTTACGATCTGCTCACAATTTCTGTGTTTTTCCCTCAGAAATAGTCTACGCCCTGGAGAAGCTCGGCCCAAAAGTGAAGTGGCCGCAGAAGATGAGATCCGACCCAAACACCAGAAAGTCAAACGCCCTCTGCAAATTCCACCAGGAACAGGGTCACAAAATCGAGGACCGCATCGCTCTAAGGCAAGAGGTCGTGAATATGCTTCACCAAGGACATCTGAAAGAACTTTTGAGCGACCGAGGAAGGGCAAACTTTGCTCGAGGACGCGAACAACACCAAGATCCACCAAAACCGCATTCTCTAGCTCGAACCATCCAAATGATCAAAGGAGGGGGCGACGGCGCGTCAATCAACATCGTAAAATTCACGACCACCCCACAATTTGAAACGGTCAATCACTCACGAAAGGTACGATGAACTCAAAGAAAGTATTATCTTCGATAACTCAGATACCCACGATTGGGTCTTTCTTCACTATGATGCCCTTGTTATTACTTTATGCATTTTATATATCGATGTGAAATGTATTATGGTCGATGATGGAAGCGGCACATGCATTATCCACCCTCGAGTTCTCGCACAAATGAAACTCAAGGATAGGATAGTGCCACACTGCATCATACTGACGGGTTTTAACAATGCAGTTGAACGGACGTCCGGAGAAATTGTGCTACCTGTCCTGGCCGGCGGCGTCACTTTGGAGACCACATTCCGCATCATGAATCAAGACACGGCATATAACGCCATTATTGGATACACACCATGAAAACTGTCCCCTCCAGCTTATACCAAGTCATCAAATTTCCCACCCTTTGGGGGGTGTTCAGCATCTGAGGAGAGCAACGCACTTCCCAAAAATTCTATCGCATCACCAAAGACTGCACATACACCCATCAATTGAAGGGCAAAGCCGATGAGGCATAGCAATTAACAAGATCGAGGTAGGGTAGTGACGAAGAGAAAGATGCCATCAGGTACCCCAAAATCATAGAGGCCATGGGATCAACCGTAGAGGATCTTGACCCTGTACAACTCGACAAAGACGGCCATAACAAAAAGGCCTACATCGGTCATAAGCTTCAGGAGCCACATAAATTCCACCAATTTTTAGCTAACAATGCAGACTTGTTTGCCTTTTCCCATGCAGATATGCCGGGCATCCCGAAAGCGTTAGCGACACACAAGTTGAACGCCGACCCATTGTACCCCCAATGCAACAAGTTAGGCGGAAATTTAATTTCGCAATAGATGACGCAGTCCACGAGGAGGTTGAAAACCTGCTAGAAAATGGCTCTATCCGAGAATCAAAATACCCCCAATGGGTCGCCAACGTGGTCATGGTCAAAAAGAAGAACGGAAAATGGCGGATGTGCGTGAACTTCATGAATCTAAGCAAGCATGCCCTAAAGACTCATTCCTACTACCCTATATTTACCAGCTCACTGACGTAATGGCCGTGCACGAGTTATTAAGCTTCTTAAACACCTACTCGGGCTATAGCCAGATCCTCATGGAGGAAAAAGACCAGGAAAAGACCATCTTCATCACCCACCAGGAGATATTTTGCTACAGGGTGATGCCTTTCGGACAGAAAAAATGCAGGGGCGGTATATCAGAGGTTGGTGACAAAAATGTTCAAAGACCAACTCGGCAAAACCATAGAGGTATACATCGACGATATGTTGGTCAAGTTAAAAAGGAAAGAGGATCATATCGACCACTTGAAAGAGGCCTTCGACATACTCAGACGATATGGTATGATATTGAACCCCGAAAAGTGTGCCTTCGGCATAACCTCGGGAAGGTTCCTCGGCTTCTTAGTATCACAACGAGACATCGAGGTCAACCCCGACCAAATCAAAGCTATAGAAAGAATACTGGAGAACTTAACCGTAAGAAACAGGTACAGAAGTTGACCGGCCGTATAGCCGCCTTGTCGAGATTCATCTCACGGTGCCATAAATATTTTGGCGTACTCAAGAAGGACAATGGACTTCAATGGAACTTTGAGTGCGTCGATGCCTTGAAAGAGTTAAAGGCGTACCTATATTGACCCCCACTGCTCGCTAACGCGGAACCTGGAGAACGTCTCCTCATTTACATGGATGTGTCCGATGTGGCAGTGAGTGCGGTCTTCGTCCGAGAAAACAAAGGTACGCAATTACCCATCTATTATATTAGCAAAACCTTGGTTGATGCCGAGATGAGGTATCCACACCTCAAGAAGCTGGCCCTGGCTTTGGTCGTAGCTTCACGAAAGCTTAGACCTTATTTCCAGTGCCACCCCATCTCGGTGGTCATGACCTTTCCCATGATGAGTATTTTGCATAAACTCGAGCTGTCGGGCAGATTGGCCAAATGGGCCATAGAATTGAGCAAGCATGATATATCCTATCAGCTGCGAACAACGATAAAGTCGCAAGTGCTCTCCGACTTTGGCGCCGACTTCAGCACAAAAATTATGCCTGAAGTGGAAAAGGAAGCCGCCCGTACTTCCCCCAAAATACACGACCTATGGGTTTTGTATACCAATGGTGCCTCTAACGCGTCGGGGTCTGGACTGGGACTCGTGCTCAAAGTTCCAACATGCAAAGTAATTCGCCAGTCCATAAGATGCCCAGATATGACTTACAATGAGGCCGAGTATGAGAGGTGATTGCAAGACTTAAATTAGCACTCAAGTACGGAGCGAAGCGAGTCATCCTACGCTCTCAACCAATCCCCCAAAAATACACCCCAAGCCCCTCGGGACCCCGTTCAAATATACCAACAAGTTCCATAACATAACACAGACCTACTTGAGGCCTCAAATCACATCAAACAACATCAGAACGACGAATCGCACCTCAAGTCAAAATCTATGAACTTTGAACTTTCAAATTCTATATCTTGTGCCGAAACACATCAAATCAATCCGGAATAACTTCAAATTTTGCACACGAGTCATAAATGACATGATGGAGTTGTTTCAATTTTTAGAATCGGATTCCGTCCCCGATATCAAAAAGTCAACTCTCTGTTAAACTTTCCAAAAATCTTTTATTTTCCAACTTCCGCCAAAATGCACTGAATTGTCCTACGGACTTTCAAATCCAAATCCGGACACACAACGAACTCCGAAATCACCATACGAAGCTATTGACATCATCAAAATTCCATTCCGAGGTCACTTGCTCAAAAGTCAACTCTCCGGTCAACTCTTTCCATTTAAGATTCAAAATGAGAATTTTTCTTTAAATTGAATTCTGAATCTTCCGAAAACCAAACTCAACCACACACGCGGGTCATAATACATATTACGAAGCTTCTTGACACTTTAAGTCACTGAGCGGGGTGTTAATTCTTAATATGACAAGTCAGGTCGTTACATTATCCCCCTCTTAAACATACGTTCGTCCTCGAACGTGCCGAGAATTATTCCGACGATATTAGATTACTGAGTGCATTATTTCACACATACTCACGGGTGATTCTACATCACCGTAAAATTAACAGGGGTTCGACAACATCATTTTAGTGGAGATTATTTCTCTTATTCACACTTATAAGCCTTTAAGCCAATTCCTTATATTCCAAATAAATTTCAAATTCCCTACATCAAGACACAGTGTTAGTCTCAACCGACTGTAGCAATTTGTGACCATGCACACATCATACGTATGTCCGTAACCACATCTCTGGTCATAATAATTGTTTATAATCAATTTCAGCATCCTCAATTAATCTCATCTTAACCAAAATCTCATATCTAATTTTTCACAACACTGACAACAACACATGAGGCATGAAGATCTCATAGTTATTTACCCAAATTACCGAGTCATATTTAACGCCACCTGGACACTCACCTCGTAGGCTAAAACTCAATAATNATATATATATATATATATATATATATATATATTTAAAATAAGCTCAACAGGCATGACTCTCTATAAGTACTATAGTATAAATTTAATGTCACAAGGGAGAATTTAAACACATAAATTTTTATCACAAGGATCTTGTCCTTATATAACTTCCACCGCGGCTCGTATCCCGGTTTAAACATATCAAATGATATTAAAATGCGAGGATCTCGTCCTCAACTCCGAATCACAAGTATTTTGCACATCGTGCCAACCGACATTTTCAATTTCCTCTCTTTCTTCTTTTCAATAAATTTCATAAATAATTTTCACAACAGATAATGAATCCCTATTCCAATAGGGCATATAATTCATAAAACTGAAACCAATTATTCCGGAATCACATCAAAACCTACTATAGAAAGTATTAGAAAGTTACTTTTGGACTTATAGTCCTCAATGGTGTACAAAATAAAAATGATAGACATATGATAACACCATCAAATCTCCCAACAGGGATAAATACATAAATAGGTTTCGAAATTACGAAACTCACCCATAAGTGGAGCATAATAGTAGGACTCGCCTCGATACTCAAAACCGAATCAAACTAAGGAAAATATTCCTTTATAACAATTCAAGACCGTACATGTAATGACACCATCTGGTGTAGAAGCCTCAGCCATACCATATCAATTATATCAATGGATTGGGCCTCCCCCTCTAGGGCGCCCTCTACTCGCCTGTCCTCCACCCCTAACTGGCTGTGCACGTGAGATAGTAGCTGCACTGGGGCCCATAGCCTGAGTGTTCAGATAACATCCACCCCTCCCAAGTCTGGGACAATCTCTCATGATGTTCCTAGTATCACCACACTCATAACAACCCCTCTGAGGTCGCGGTTGCTCATACTGAGTCTGTGTCAGATAACTGGAATAACCATTGGAAGAATCTCATGTCGGTGGTGCACTATAAAAACTTACTGGAGTACCCCGAGTACTCGAGCCTCGAGCCTCCGCCATAATGGGTCATAGCTGAAGAGTAAAATCCACTGAACCCTCCAGAGCTTCGAGACCTTTTGGCCTCCTTAGACTCCCTTTATTCCCCTAGAACACCCTTAATGCTTCTCGCAATCTCCACTACTTACTAAAATGGAGTATCAGTTTGCAACTCTCAAGCCATGCATATTTTAAGTTCATAATTGAGCCCCTCAATGAATCTACGGACTCGCTCACTGACTGTAGGAACCAAGATAGGTGCATGACGGGCTAACTCACTGAACTTGATGGCATATTCTGACACTGTCATAGTGCCCTGATGCAACCGTTCAAAATCTGTACGCCACGCATCTCGGAGAGTCTGGGGAACAAACTCTTTCAAAAACATTTCTGAAAATTGAGCCCAAGTTGGTGGTTTTGCATCTGCTGGTCTACCTTCTTCATAAATTTTCCACCACTGATACGCTGCGCCTGACAGTTGAAATGTAGTAAAGGCAACTCTGCTCACTTCCATAATACCCATGGTGTGGAGAATACGGTGATAATTTTCTAGAAATCCTTGGGCATCCTCTGTAGCTGTGCCACTGAGAGTAGGTGGACTATACCTCTTAAACCTCTCAAGTCTCTTTTGTTCTTCTTCTGATGCCTCTGGCCTGACCTCAGGCTGAACCGAAATAATAGGTTATACCGGTACTACACCTGGAACCTGACCAATGTGAACATGCTACTCTGGAGTTGTGGTAGGAGTCTGAGCTACTCCCCCAATCTACGGAATGTTTGGTGCAACAGAGACCAATCCCGCCCGAGTTAATGTACCAAACATACTTAGGAACTGTGCTAAAGTCTCTTGAAGTCCGACAGTAACAACAAGTGCTTCTGGTACCTGTCCCCCAACTGGAGCTACTCGTGGCTCCTCAACTGTTGTTCTGACAGGTGCTCTAGTCGCAGAACGTGCCCTTCCTTGACCTCTACCTCGGCCCTAGCCTTTTGCAGCCCTAGCAGTATGTGCGGATGCCTGCTCAGCTAATCTAGTATCACGTGTCCTCACCATCTGTGAGAGAATAGAGATACAACAGCTCAAATTCCACAATCAACAAATCTGCACGACATGAATGAAAGAAGTGGAAATTTTCTAACAGTTCTATAGCCTCTCAAAGATAAGTACAGACGTCTCCGTACCGATCTGCAAGACTCTACTAGACTCGTTCGTGACTCGTAAAACCTATGAACCTAGAGCTCTGGTACTAACTTGTCACGACCCAAAATCCCACCACAGACGTCGTGATGGCACCTAGTCTCTAAGACTAGGTAAGCCGATCTCAATTATA